ATACGTGTTAACACGAAAATTATGGGCGTAGCACGGACTCTGCACCAAATACAAACTTTATCGACCCTGCCAGAAAATGGGTGTGCAGTTAGTTCCGATATTAAAAATTGTGCGAGGGGCGCTTCAAGCAGTCCCGTAAAAACGGTAACAGCCAAAACGCCGGCTGGCCGCTCTCATCTTTCTCTCTGCCTCACTACGGCCATTGGCATTGACCACAGATTAATAGACAGATCGCCAAAGGTCTGGATGAAGGAGAGACCAGCATTTCTCACTGATTTCAGCGCCATATCGTAGTAGTGGTCAATGCAGTAACTATTAATACGTTCCCAAGATAAGAGCGTCTCATGCTCATGAACTCGTCCGGCGGCATGTACGAGATTTATCTTTTCGTAGCGTTCGCGTATTTCGGAAAGGACAGAATTTTATGATGTTATAAATAAATAAATAAATAAAATATTAACCTGACCTATTATAATTATTTTTTAATAAATGTTTCATTATTATTATCATCTAAGTCTAAGTCGTTTAATTAATTTTTAGTTTTTTAATAATTAATTTAATTTATTCTAATCATTTTATATGTGAAAAATACTAATACGTATACGTTTTATAATGAATTAATATATTTCGAGAGTCGAATTATATATTTTTAATAATATAAAAGTGTTCAAAAATTATATTTGACTTTTAATTTAATTATTTTAGCAAAGAGTTCCGAAATCTCTTACACACATAATAGGATTTTGTTCATCCATATAATTCGCAATTAAGTATATATGTTAATTATTAATTTTAATAAAATACAAAATTAAAATTAAAGGTCAAATATAATTTTTGAACATAAATATATTTAATTCGTTATAAAACGTATACCCGTGATAGTATTTTTCTCGTACAAAAATAACTAGAACAAATTAAATTACTCATAAAAAAATTAAAAAATAATTAAATAATTTATATTTATATGATAATAATAAAACATTTTATAAAAAAAACAGATTCAATAAATATAAGTATATATATACTGTACTTATTTTATTGAATCTGTTTTTTAATAAAATGTTTTATAAGCTTAGAAAACTTGACTTTGACGTAACTAGCAAATTTTATTTAATTATTTCACGACGGTTTGACGTAATAAAATGTTTTATTATTATTATATAAAATATAAGTTTAAATTCTTTAATTAATTTTTAATCTTTTATGATTATTTAATTTACTCTAATTATTTTTGTACGAGAAAAATACTATCATGGGTATACGTTTTATAATTAATTTAATATATTTGTGTTTAAAAATTATATTTGACCTTTAATTTTAATTTTTATTTTATTAAAATTAATAATTAACATATATACTTAATTGCGAATTATATGGATGAAAAAAATCCCCATTATGTGTGTAAGAGATTTCGGAACTCTTTGCTATAAAATAATTAAAATTAAAAGTCAAATATAATTTTTGAACACTTTTATATTATTAAGAATATATAATTCGATTCCCGAAATATATTAATTCATTATAAAACGTATACGTGATATTATTTTTCTCATATAAAAATGACTAGAATAAATTAAATTAATTATTAAAAAACTAAAAAGTAATTAAACGACTTAGACTTAGATGATAATAATAATGAAACATTTTATTAAAAAAAGATTCAATAACTAGTAGGTCAGGTTATAATTTTTTATTTATTTATTTATAACATTATGAGCTATTAAGCTCATCATCTCGTTCTCTCTCTGTCTTGCTTTCATTCGGCAAGTCACAAACGATATATGATACTCGTATGTTCCTACTTCAACTCTCGAGAATCTGAAACAAACGAAACTCGTGTCCAATATACAGGGTGTCCGGTAACTAACAGACCAATGATTACAAATGGATTCTTTGGTCAATTTGGGAACGATTTTTCCTCAGCGAAAATGTCGAAAAAGGTCATCATTTTTTACAACTTCCAATCTTTGTCATTATGTATCTTTATAACTAAGCCTTAAATTAAAATTTTATTATAGTAAACTCTACCTGAAATTAACTGAAGAATGTAATTATGTTAGACTTTTAACTCCAAAACGTTTAGTTTTCAAAAAACCTATTTTTTTCAATCGCTTATAACTCGAAAATTATTGACTTCTCAACATTTTTGCTAAGGAAAAATCGTCTCCAAATTGGCCAGAGAATCCGCCCTTAATCATTGGTCCGTTAGTTACCGGACACCTTGTATATATTATATAAAAGTGTATAGCACGTCAGAAGCTTGTGAGCTTACAGCGATAAGTAAAAACAATTGCGTATTTATTTCATTGCGTTTATCTGTTTAAACGCGCGCTTTAATTTTTCCAACGTTTTTGCCTGTTTATATTTTAAAGGTCCTCTCTTCTAAAAATCTTGTTTTAAAGATCCTCTCCGCGAGCAAAATTCGAAAACATAAATTATTTAATATTTTTACTTTATTATTTGTAAATCCTCGGTAATTTCAAAATTTTTCTATTTGAAAATTATTAATTTTCTATTGCCAATTAATTTTATCACAGACTTTACTCTTACTCCCATTGCACTTTCGTTTGCGGTTTTCAGTATACGATTTTTTATCGTAGTTACTGAAAATTATTATTGTGAATTATACTTGTGCAGTGATTTGAAGAATTTACAATTTCGTTGAAATTGTTGATTTTTCAAAAAAATTACGAGATTCGCGGAAATTGCGTGCTTTCTTGGCATTTTCCGTTCGCGGCAGGCGGTTTATTTTTGATTGTTGCAAGTGTTTTTGTTTTTTTTTATTAAAATAGATAATAATAATGTGAAATAAATCACGATATTTGACAGATGTGCATATATATAGAAATTGTAATAATAATAATATTATATCATAAAATTGTAAATTGTTTCAATTTTTTATAGACTGCGATAAAAGATTTTACATTTGGATAAGAAACTGCGGTAAGTAAAAATATAAAATTCTTGAAAACGTAAAAATATTTGATAACGTAAAAAGGTGAACTTTGAAAAATAAGGAACTTAAAAATTGCACTAATAAATTGGCTATATATATGTGAGCCGTGCGCGGATGTAAGGTGTGTTATATCGAAATTTAATTAATAGAATTGAGAATTAATCCCAATTTTAAGTTTTACAAATGTCCAAGCTAATTTTTTGTACCTTGTGTACATTTTTGAAAGTTATATCGAAAAATTAAATTTCAATATGCGTCTTACATCTCACATTTCGCATACGGCTCACATATAGCCTATTTATCTCTTATACTTTATTTCAACCCTTATAGAAATTTATTACTAGTAACGCCAATTTATCACTTATTTCGAGTAATTAATCACTTTTATTTCGAATACTTAAATTACTGTATATTATAGTATTTTAAATACTCAAAATAAGTGATTAATTGGCGTAGTGATAAATTTCTACAAGAGAATAAGGAGCCTTTAAATTCTTAATGTAAAAAATTTCAAGTAATTTTCTTTAATAAAATTTAATTAAAAAATTTAATTAAAAAATTTTTGAACACTGTGTTATATCACATTTAAAATCGTGATTATTTCAATAAAAAAACATTTTATGTGTAAAAAATATATTTTTTATATTTAATAAATTTTATATATATATGCATATATGTAAAATATTCTCTCTCTCTCTCTCTCTCTCTCTCTCTCTCTCTCACACACACACACACACACACACACACACACACACAACGGGGGCCAAATCTCTCAAATTGGTCTCATGATCAATTAGCCTGGATTCGCACCAGGGGCAAAGTCTGTTGGTAATGTCAAACGAATTTAGCCTGGACTTGCACCAGGGGCAAAGTCTTTTGGTCGAGTCTACGAAATTTAGCACGGACTCGAACCAGGGGCAAAGTCTTTTGGTTCAAGTCTACGAATTTAGCACGGACTCGAACCAGGGGCAAAGTGTGTCGGTAAGGGGCAAAGTCTATCGCACGAAGATGGCGGTCTCTTCTTTAGGCAGGCCTTTGGCGATCTGTCTATTAATCTGTGGCATTGCTCACGCGGACGCACCGTAGAGAGACAAGGACCGATAATGACGTGTTCTCCTTGTTCCTCTACCGTGCCGGTATACGCGAGATGCCGCCTGAAAATGCTTTCTGGGTATCGATTCTGTAACTTTTTCTAAAGTAAAAACGTAAAAAATGAAAAATTTCCGCCAATCGCACATCGATTTTATTTTAAAATCAATGCGTGATTGGCGAGAATTTTTCACATTTTTACTTTAAAAAAAGTTACAGAATCGATACCCTGACCTTCCGTAGCAGAAGGCAGTAGCGTAGCAAGGCGAATAAGCACCCACTTTTTGGAAATTGTATATGGGTGCATTCGTTTATGCAGAGACTGCCGCAGAATGCCGCAGATGTCGTTCGTTTACTCCACCTGCGCAACCGACTGCAGCGCAGTTTGTTGTTCGTTTAAGCAGAGCTGCTGCCTATCTGCGCAGCCATCTCGGAGGTCCTGCTCAGGATGCTCTGCTCGCAGTACTGCGGACTACTGCGTAAACGAATGTAGTCTTCTCCATTGTTAAGCCAATTGAACTTGGAAACGTTGTCTGAAAATTATTTCAATTATAAGTTATGTTATAAAAGTTCAGAACAAAGAAGGTGGAGAACAACTCCTCCAAATAGATCCTACAAAACTAAAAGTAATGCAAGGTAAGTAATACAATAAAATTATGAAATCTGTTAATTTATATTTACGATCCAATTAACTTAAAAATGCATTTTTATCAAGAATATAAATTTAAAGTAATCTGTTTAAAAAAAAATGTGCTTTTGTATAAAGATGCAATTCTGTTACAGTCATTCCTAGCTATCAAGCTACTTCGTCCCCAGTTAGTTTGGAAAAATCTGAGAAGTCTACATTCAGCAACATTTCAATCCTACTGTCATCACTGTCTGAAAATGTTATGTGCACACGTCATATGTCAGAACCTTCAATCTATTTAAAAATTTTATTATATTTATTCAAATAATAATTCATATTTAATATAAATATGATGGTTTCTAAATCGGCCTAAGAGCCATAGCACGAAAAATTACGAAAATTAATTATTCGGAACTGTATCTCTTGGTACGAGATTACTAAAGTTCCATATATTAATTAACCTCGAACTTACATATGGAGAAATAGGCACGAAAAATATAGATCCGAAAAGTCTGAATAGCTTAGTGGTAAGAGCAGTCGCCCGGAAAGTGAAAGACGCGGGTTTGATTCCCGCTTCAGCGACTTTTCGGACCTATATTTTTCGCGCCTATTTCTCCATATGTAAGTTCGAGGTTAATTAATATATGGAACTTTAGTAATCTCGTACCAAGAAATACAGTTCCGAATAATTAATTTTCGTAATTTTTCGTGCTATGGCTCTTAGGCCAATTTAGAAACCATCATATTTATATTGTTTATATTGAGAGCCAATAAAAAATATTTATTTCTGAGTTAATTCATATTTATTTAAAATTTCTTTACTTACGCACTCCAATTACAATCTGAGCAGTCAATTCACGCAGGTGATCGTTCGGTAAATGATGTCACGTGACTCGCAGATAATAGACGCAGTAGATGCGCAGTGGATGCGCTAATCGCTGCATAAACGAATGCACCCTATATGCTTATGCACATATGTGTGTATATGTATGTTGCGGATTAACCAATCAACTGACAAGTTGCTTTACTTTCATTGGTCAATCGGCAATTGTCAACTAGCAACGAGGATATTTGCAACCTATTGTATAATGGCTCTTATGCATATGCTTATGCGCTTATGCAAGAGTGTGTGCTCCCCGCTTAAGAATCTTGATTGGTCTATAAACGTATGCATAAGAAATTCAACCAATCGAATTTCTTATGCATATGCTTAAGCGCTTATGCAAAAGTGTGCGCTCCCCGCTAAAGCGGGGGGGGGGGGGGATTCGTAATTCCAGGCCGGCCGATAAGCGTCTCCACCGGGCCTTCTGCCGACCCTTAATGCATCAACAAAATATTACTTTAATAATAGCGTTTTCGATTGGGGTGCACTGGCTGCACTGAATGTCAGGCGCGTGTTCGATTGGTAGTGCCAATGCGCACTTGGCTAGTGTTGCGTGTTCGTTTGAACGCACAACACTCGCATAGTGCGCACTCAGTGGCACGTGATATTTTGACGGTGCCAGTTCAGTGCACTGGATGCATGCAAGCAGTAGGGCATTCTTTTGAACGAAAATTCGACATAATGAGCAATTCGGATTTGGCTCTCTTTAATATTTTGGAGACATTTTTGGAATCTTCTTCTAGTTCAAGCGAGCAAGAAGAAATAATTACAACTCTTCGAACTAGAAGAATAATTCCAAAAACTGTAAATTATGTAGAATGTGTGAAAAAAATAGATAATGACACCGTAAGTGTTATATCTTTTTATATAAACATCGAACCTATACCCTTTTTTAAAATATAATTAATGTACTTAATGTAATAGCATTTTTATACTGAATAATAATAATTTTTATATTTGTCATACGTGATATTCTTGATCATCTTCTATATTTAATTACATATAATAAAAATCATTACTTAACTGAACACAAGATGTCGAGGTTACTTTTTCGTTCTTCCCGGAATCTAGTCAACTCAAGTGGCACTGAAAATTTCGGCGTGTTCTTTTTCACCTGCACTATTCAGTGCAACCCATGGAACTTGTCCAGTGTTCGTATGAACTGAGTGCGCACTGGTGCGCACTAACTTTTTCCCAATCGAAAACGCTAAAAAGGATGGCATCAAGCCGCAAAAGATAATGATTTCCCGTTATTTGATTCAAGCGAGAATATAATTGTTCAATGTATAAATATATGCAGCTATTAAATTCGGCTTCACAATCAAGAATTAAAGATTTAGGGCTTAAATCACTTTATTATGGACTCAGCCTTACATAAAAATTGAACCAAATAATTTAATAATTTTATAAATTTATTAAATTAATTTAATAATTTAATATTCAATTAAATAAATTAATTGAATAATCAATTAAATAAATTTAATAATTAATAAACAGTTAATTACATTAATTTAAGGCCAGATATTCAACAGGTGTAGTAAGCTCTAAGCTTTAAAAAATTCACCAATCACAGTCAAGAACGAGGGGAATAATTGACTGTGATTGATCAATTTTTTAAGGTTTACTACATCTATTGTAGACCCGGCCTAATTATTTAATGAACAGTCAATTAAATTAATTTAATATTGTCTCATTTTTTAGTAGACAAAACTTTCGATTGGTGACCAGAAATATACAAAATAATACAAAAATACATCTGCTTTTTTTGATATCCGTCGCGAGAGAGAGAGAGAGAGAAAAAAAATTTTACAATTTTTTCTTCAATGTCTTCAATGTTGTTAATTTAACCTAATGACGTCATCTATCTCCAGCTAGTAGATTTTAGTAACCTACAGAATTTATATATATATATATATATATATATATATATATATGTTTTATGTTTCTTTTAATATTTTGAATTAGCAAAAAAAAGAAGAAAAAGAAGGTGCCAACGGTACATGGTGTTCCCAAGCGGTCACCCATCTAAGTACTAACCATGCCCAACGTTGCTTAACTTCAGTGATCAGACGAGAACTGGTGTGTTCAACGGGGTATGACTGTTGACGATGGTAAAATCTTTAATTAATGAAGAAATAGTCACTTGAAAATTTTAAGAGTATTGTAAATAAAATAGTTTCTTTATTGTCATTATAATTTAAGTATACATACATTTGAAACAAAAAATAAATATTATTATTGGTAATAAAGAGATCCTAAAGCCGTCTGTTTTACCAATAAAACGCAAAATTAAGAATTTGACTATACCCATACAGCACCGATAGATTGCAAAAAACATTACAACAATCTTTTATCGCAATATTGCAATATTGCAAATTTACTGCAAAATGTTGCTACATCATTGCTGTTGAATTGCAGCAATGTTAAAATGTCCGCTTTTTGGAAGATTGCAACAAAATATTACAACAATATTGCAATATATTATGAGTTTGCAATAATGCATTGTTATTGCAACCATAAACTAATGTTGCATATGCAGGTATATAAATGTAAATAAATCATTAATGAAAATACGTTGTAGTTAATTTATATATATTACAATATATAAATTATAGAATTTTGATTACATGCAATATTTCCAAAATATTAATGTCATGTTGCTACAAGTGTGCTGGAATTTTGTGCACCTATATCTCTGCAATGTCTTTATAATGTTGCATTGCAACTTGCAACATTGCAACGTTGCTGCAATATAATTGCAATAATCTGTGCTGTATGGGTATATTAATCATTTTATTAACTATACATACCCCAGACAGCACAGAATTTTATGATAAAGATTCATAAATATTTATATAAATATATATTTTTTAAAAATATGATATAAATATTTTGAAAATGTTTTATAAAAACCTTTTATTAACTATATTATTAAAATAAATTAAAATATTTAATATAATATATTTATGGTATGTATAAAGATAAATATTTATATAGATATATTATTTTGTAAATATTTTTTAACTAAATTGTTAGTTTTTTCATTTATTCGCTATGTGCGATGTATATCTTTCTCATAATTGATTTTCAGTAAGAATTATATAAGGCTGATAAAAACAAAAATTAATAAAATTAAAAGTCATAAAATTATTTATTCTATTTTTGAACTACATTCTACAATAGGGGTTGTATAGATTAATTTACATAAGCCGTCTATTTTATTGATTTAATTATTAATATTGAATAGAGTAAAAATTAAATATTAAATATTAATATTTAAAATATTAAAAATAATTTTAAATATTAATATTGACAGAATATTAAAAATAAATATTAAATATTAATATTAAAAATATTAAATATAAATATTATTAATATTGAATATTAAGAATAAATAGTAATTAATCCTATAAGAATAAGTATATTACATTTAAGTTAGTTTTAGTAAGTAACATCTTTTTTAATATTAAGAATAAAAATTGAGAATAAATATATATATGTACTGATATTTTAAAAATTATAATATTGAATATTAAGAATAAATATTTAATATTAATATTGAATATTAATATTTAATATATATATATATATTTTTTTTAATATTCAATATATTAATATTAATATATTAATATTTAATATAATTCTTAATATTTATATATTCTATATATAATTTATATAATCTCATAAAATGAGACCGTATTTTGACTTACTGGGGGTAAGTCAAAATACGGTCTCATTTCATGGGCGCTGTTAGCGGTAAAATCGCCGGCCAATTCATGAACTACGACGTGTTGGACTTTGAAGTTTCATGCAATATAACCAAGAACATAAGCTTGACATCTTGGCAAAATGTCAATTTTGATGTCGTAAGTATTAATAAATAATATACGATACTTAGAAACGACAAAGTTTACAGAGGAAATCTTTTTTTGATAAAACAAGCAAAGTCCAGCACGTCGTAGTTCATGAATTGGCCGACGATCATACTGCGAACAGTGCCCAGAAGATGAGACTATATTTTGACTCACTCCCACCACTGGAGTTCGGTCTTCAGGAAGTCAATTGTGTAACTTTTTCTAAAGTAAAAATGTGAAAAGTGAAAATTTTCTTCTAATCACACATCGATTTCATTTTAAAATTAATGCATGATTAGTGTAAATTTTTCATTTTTCACGTTTTCACTTTCGAAAAAGTTACACAATCGATCCCCTGGTCTTTATAGTCTTCTTGATAGTGGGAAATAAAGTTTAGACCGTTTCAGCTTTTTCAGCGTGCCGCGAATTCAACAGTAATTGTACGAAGAAGAAGAATAATGAACAATTACGAGAATGCATAAGTATAATATCACAGATTAATAGACAGATAGCCAAAGGCCTGTCTAAAGAGGAAACCGTAATTGCTATTAACTTCACAGTTTTAATTTTTCATATACATGTAATTAAAAACGAGTGTGTATACGCTTGAGGCCGGGTCTACAATAGATGTAGTAAACTCTAAAGGCTGTTCTACAATGGAGTTTCGTAGGTAGTAGTCGTAAGAAATTGACCTATCACAGTTGATTATTTTTGAAATAATCGACTGTGGTTTGTCAATTTCTTACGACTTAAAGAACTTTCTACAATGGAGTGTCGTAGGCCGTAGTCGTAAGAAATTGATAAACCACAGTCGATTATTTCAAAAATAATCGATTGTGATACGTCAATTTCTTACGACTACCACCTACGATACTCCATTGTAGAACGGTCTTAAGACTACGGCAGACGTAAGTGCTTACGTTTAGTTCTCTGCCATCGGCCTAAATATAAGATCGAACTATGAATACGAGCCATTCTCTCTGATATTATATTTTTTTATATATTTTTTATTTATATATTATATAAAAATACATAATATAAATATATATATATATATATGATATAATATAATAATCTTAATAATAATAATGATAGTATTATTATTATAATAATATCCCATACAGCACCGATAGATTGCAAAAACATTACAACAATCTTTCACCGCAATATTGCAATATTGCAAATTCACTGCAAAATGTTGCTACATCATTGCTGTTGAATTGCAGCAATGTTAAAATGTCCGCTTTTTGGAAAATTGCAACAAAATATTACAACAATATTGCAATATGTTATGAGTTTGCAATAATGCATTGTTATTGCAACCATAAACTAATGTTGCATATACAGGTATATAAATGTAAATAAATCATTAATGAAAATACGTTGTAGTTAATTTATATATATTATAATATATAAATTATAGAATTTAGATTACATGCAATATTTCCGAAATATTAATGTCGAGTTGCTACAAGTGTGCTGGAATTTTGTGCACTTATATCTCTGCAATGTCTTTATAATGTTGCATTGCAACTTGCAACATTGCAACGTTGCTGCAATATAATTGCAATAATCTGTGCTGTATGGGATATAATATATATTATATACTATATAATATAATATTATAATATACTTATATATATATATATATATATATATATATATATATATACTATATAATATTATAATATACTTAACACACACATATACACACACACACATATATATATATATATATATATAATTTTAAAGAGAAAAGAAGAAAAGCATTTTTAAATTAGACGCCAATTTTTGTATTCGTCACGTGACCTGCATTTCTGTCGGAACTCGGGGTCATTTCCTGGGAGAAACAAGATGGTGCTAGAATTCACATCTGTGAATTAACATTATCGTTACATATTTATTTCGCGTTTATCAATTACTTGTTAAAGAAAGTCAAGTAAATTTCAACCGAGAACGAAAAATAAGCAAACGCGGTTTTCAATATCCGAGATAGGATTTATTTGTTTAAAACAAAAAAATAAGAAAAATAAAAATGCAAGGTATCAGTATGGTAGAACGACTCGGATTAGGTCCTGAAGTCCGCGAACTCAAACTTGGTCCCAGTTTTATGAGCAGCAGTTCCAAGTTTCACACCCTGAAATGTAAGTATAATAATTTTTTTAATGAATAAATTTACATAATTGTCTTGTCAGCGTCACAAAAATATGTGTGTGAACCGAGACAAGTTTTCTTAGCAATAAAGGAAAATGTATTTTTAAGAAATATCTAGTTAATTTTAATTTTTATTCAAAGCACTTTTGTTTAATTGACACTTATTAATTGCTTGTTTAATTTGGCCCACAACGATTAATTAATTTGCATTGTAATACACGAGCTATATTCTTCTTTTATTTTTTTAATTCTAATTTTTATTTAATTCTAATTTTTTTTAGATGATTTTAAGCCTGCGAGTGTTGAAAATTCCAAAGTGGCCAAAGTTGATGTGGGTTCAGATAATACAATAACAGTCACAGTTCCCCATTTGGATGGTGCTGGTGCTCCCCAAACTGTGTTTAGAGGTTCTCAAAGACCTTATAATAAAGAATATGTTTTAATAGTTGATAAGAATACTGGAGATATTACATTGGAGAAGTTAACTGCAAATATTCAAGTTAAAAAGACACGGTACGTTTATTACATTGATAATGTATCCTTGTTACTTCATGTCTGTGTTGTCTTTATATATTAATATTATGCTATATAATATTAAATTAAATATATTATATCATAATTTAAAATATGATATAAGATTTTCTTAAGTTTTGATATATCTTTTTGCAGAGCGGAGCCTAAACGACAAGGTAATGGTAACTCTGCACCTGTTGAGGTCAAAAGAAGCCCTACGTATGGCAGGGCTCATGGCAGAACTAAAGTTATCAGTGGAAAAAAGAAAGAACCTTTGCTTCAATTGCATCCAAAACAGAGTCCGCAACAGGCATCACCATATGATAAAAGAAGTCCACCCAATACATCTACCAATAAGTATGTTTTAGATATAAGTTAATCTAAAAATTTTTATTATATATAATTATAAATTATAACTTTTTTCAGTTTGTCACCTGTGCGACCGTCAAATGGACAATCAACCTTGGCCAGCTTGCCTATGATTGGTGACAATGATGATTTTGCGCTGTCTACACCAATGGTGCCTGTATCTACACCAATCATAACTGTTTCTCCGCCAGGTCAAATACCAAATACAAAATCGACTACCTTAGAAAGTGATTCCAGTTCAAGCGGTTCAAGTTCCGATAGTTCAAGCAGTGATTACGAAACTGAGAATGTCCCAGTGCCAACACAGACTAATGGTAAATATGTAACAGAAAATTTTTTCTAATGCTATTCTTTTTATAATAAAAAGTTTATCTATCTCAAAACTCTACATTTAAATATTTATTTATTTTCTAGGATATTTAAATGGTACAACAGCGTCGCCTACCTTGTTCATGTCGGATAATCTCTTAAATGATGATCTACAGTTATCGGAATCAGAATCTGATTAATAGTGATTTGTCGATAGAATTAAATTGTTTAAACAGTCACTTTATTATTTGCGTTTAACAGTATCTCTGTTAATAATACATATAATAATAATTACGATTAAAAAAATCTTCAGATTTCTAATTTTTTATTGCAGTTATATAGAATTATAAATATATTAAATATATATTATAATATTATATAATATAATATTAAATTAAATATATTATTTTTGAAATATATATATATATATATATATATATATATATATATATAATATATATAATATAAAAGCAAGAGAAAAATTGTATGAATATTTCTTTATGAGATATGAAATAAATTTTTTTTTTGTATTAGGACACCATTTGTATTTATTAATAGGGAATAGGAAATATATACACAAAATTTACGTAATCTCTATAAAAAATTTATTTAATTTATATAATATCAGCTCTATGAAGAAACATAATTTTAAAAATTTTATACATGTATCATAACTTGCAAAAAGTACAATTATTTTTTTATAGTTCTAAAGTGTAAAACTTTAAGATCTAATGTTTACAAGATACATTAAACTAACATTGTAGTAATTACGAATATTTATTTCGAATAAAAAAATATATATAAATTAATATAATATTTATGTAATATTCATTTTATTTTCATGTATAAATCTTTGTGAAAGATATATCTAATTATTGTACCGAATATATTAGATTTATAGGCATTTACGCGAATAATCTACTTTCTTTACACGAAATCTCTACTTTCTTTCTCTTATACGGAAAATATAAATATAAATTATAATAAATAAGTTATTCTCTTTGTAAAGAATACATATATATCTCAATTTTTATGCTTTCTTACGCTTGATGATTCTGATAATCTAACATCAATCTAGCCAGTTGACTACGTCTACCCAAGTGATTGTTTCTTAGTTTAAGGCAATTCTTGTGAATACTGTCATTAATAGTGTCGTCGCAATTAACATCTTTGTATTTTATCTTCAATGTCGGTTCTATCGCGCGAAATATATGCATATCACTGAACGACACATACATTTCAAATAGAGAAGTTACGGGACTGTCTTTGGAAAGTTTCAGCAGAGTAGCTAGGTCCTTGTCGGATCGCGCTAACGGAATGCTCGTCTCGACTGTTTGTCGCACTGAAACGCATTAATAAAAAATTATTAATTAATTAATAATTCGATTAGAACTCGTTGAACTTGTCGAAATAAATTGATGAAGACATCCGATACATACTTGCGTTGTAATCTTTGATGTAAAATGCAATATTGTTGTAATTGTGTTCATCGTATTTTCCGTAATTGCTGTTGACGTCCACCTCATCATGAGCCGTTTCATCCGTGTAAATTATATCAGGATGGAATTCGATGAACGGGATCGGGCTGAATATCTGATAGTGACTGATGGTATTCATACGAACCTGATAGAGACAAGAATTAATAATTATAATTAATATATATTAATTATAAATATGTTATATATTTATATATTAATATTGTATATTATATTATATAATAATTATATTATAAATATTATATAATTATTATATTAATGAGTTAATTATCCGCAATATATCACTCCATATTTTATATATACTCACTCTATTTAAATAATCTACTTTTAATTTCGTTCCTGTTTCCATGAGAAGAACCAGACTCTCCAAAGAGAACTTCTTTGCGCACAAATCAGTTACGGCAATCCTCAACATTGGATTTAAATCTATGGAAGTTACGTTGATTGGTAGTCGTATGGAGAGCCAAGTGATTCTCGACTGATCCTTTTTATATTTTTCATTCAGCATTAATATATTTTTTTTTACTTCGTAAAAGACATCGTTTTTGCCTTTTGATGGTGAGTCAAAATTATACAAGAGAACCTACAGAAATTAAATATATATATTTTATATAAATTTTATATATATATATATATATATATATATATAAAATAAATAAAATTTAAATAAAATATTAAATAAAACAAAATGTTAATATTATCTATTATTTCATAGCTTATATTATTAAAATAAGCTCATATTAAAAAAAAGTTAGTTCTATTTGAACTAACCATCATGAGAAAGGTCTTGTATTTTTTTCCATACAATCTTGTGCGTAATGTTCCATAAAATTTAACGCATCTTGCTTTTTGCTTAGATTGATGGTGATGATTATATTAATTCTTGTGTTTTCGGTCACATAAGGCACTGGTATGATTTCTACTTTTCCCAAGGGTTTGCAGACTTCGAGTCTCTTCCTTACTTCCCTGCCCGTAGCTGCTTCATTAAATGCTATGTCGAGTATATAATCCATTCCTCTGGACGCATCGAATTTCTGATAACCATTCAGCAGCTTTTTGAAGCTCAGTTTACCGTCATACTTGTTTACAATATTGTTTGTAACTGCATTTATCACGTAATCTACATCGGATTTTGCGTCGCCCCTCAGTTCCTGAATGTTAATGAAGTCGGTCTCGAAGAAAATGTGAGATTCATTGAAATACGACCAACGCAAGACATCGAAACGCCCAAGGGGTCTATTTCCAGGTTGATTTCCAATGGGCCAGGACACATTACGTTGACTCGGCGGTCCTAAATGTGCAGTCGCAAATATCACTTTGCGTATATCGGTGATGGATTTGTGAACTCTGATGGAATTGATCTAAAAACAACACAAAATATTTTTTAATTATATATAAACTTAATATATATATAAACTTTTCCAAAATTCAACGTCTTGTATAATTTGTATACCTATTTCAGAGAAGACTTACCGCAGCAAAGTACATATTAAGCTTATAAATAAGCATGTGATCATAGATGGGATATATGGATAGCGAATTTTGGAAGTCCGTTTGATCGATCAACTGGGCGAAATCTTTCTCAAAATTAAATGTCGGCTGCAATCGTGTAAATGTAAAGTTTTGCCCTTGTGCTCGGTTGCTACAAGGTATAGAAGTGGAGTGGAGAATGCAACGACCAATGTTAATGTCATCTGAATCCGAATACGCGTTCTTGACGCACCAGTCTAGATTATTTTTGATCTCTTGTATTATAGAATTACTTAAGAGAATACCGGATTCTAAAAATAATTTCAATTATTAATCAATATATTCACATGTGTAATATATATATATAATATATATATCCAAAAGAAATATTTTTATCGGCTCTCAATATTAAGAATATAAATATGATGTTTTTTAAATCGGCCAACAGAGCCAAAACACGAAAAATTAATTCCCGGAAAGTGAAAGACGCGGGTTTGTTTCCCGCTTCAGTGACTTTTCGAACCTATATTTTTCGCGCCTATTTCTCCATATGTAAGTTTCGAGATTAATTTATATATGGAACTTAGTGATCTCAAACCAAGAGATACAGTTCCAAATAATTAATTTTTCGTGCTTTGGCTCTGTTGGCCGATTTAAAAAACATCATATTAATATATATATGTATATGATATACAAAATATATATTTATATATATATATAAAAAATATTGTATATATATATATATATATATATATTTAATATATATAATATAAAAAATATTGTATATATATATATATAATATATATATAATATAAAAAATATTGTATATATATATATATATATATATTTAATATATATAATATAAAAATATTGTATATATATGATATATATTGGATAAGAAATATGTATGTCTTTTACCTAAAGAACAATAGGTATCAATTTCTGAACTTTGAGCACCTATGTGAAGATTTTGGCTCACACTGATTTTATTTACAAATTTCATGAGACCTCTTGCGTTTACGTAACTCACATCTCTGATTAAGAAATAATAATCATAGCTCTCCAAATAGTTATCGATGATGTATTTCAAAGAGTGAAAGGGTTTCAAGATGCTTCTCGTATCTGTGAATCCTACTATTCCAGGAAAGGAAACATTTGGCTTGGTCCCTTCTGGTATGGAGATAAAATAGCGAATTTTGTCCACGATATGAGCAATGGTTTTGTTCAGGGCTACGTCTCTACTGTGAAGAAACTCTCGACTTGTTATAATTCCCACGAATAATTTCTCTCTAATTCCAAGCTCTGTCGAATAGTACCTTGGACGTACAAACACTTTCTTTGTTTTCTGCACCAACTGTGGTTTACTGTCAGTATTGATTCTTGGTTCATAGGGATCTATGTCGTCCAAAGTATTTGCAAAATGATCGAAGGATTCTGCTGTGTCATGCTGCCTGTCAACATCGATAGGTATCAACAGTAGACTGAAACTTAGGCCCATGCATATTCCCATTATCAAGTATACATTGCTCCAACAAAGGGAATACAAAACTTTGAACAGCGGTTTCATCTTGCTGAGTTTAAACAATTTTCGCTCTTTCCCAATTTAATTCGTGTCTTTAAATTATATTCTTTATAATATTTTTTTGCAAAGAAAACAGTTTTTCATTCTTATCTTCAAACATGATTCAATATCCATAAGAAAATATTTTATATTATGCTGAGAAGCATAACATCATCTAGTTTAATAATACCTAAATAAATAATATTATACCTGTATAATAATACCAATAATAATAATAATTTTATTATATATATAGTATAATAATATACCTATAAATAAAAATATATTAAATAAATAATACAAAATTGTCATATATATATATATAATATATTACTAACTTTTTTCTGTTCACCAAATTCCATGATAACCTTAATTTTCCGATGAGATTCGACATTTGCACTCTCTGTACATTCTTCTGGTTTAATCCTCTTTCACACTTGTCAAATCATAATTATTCGTATTACATTCGTCGATTTGTTTCTGTAATAAATACGACAGATTCTATTAATTATATGATAGAGAGAATGTTGCGTCCGCGCAATGCATAATCTGTCATTCGTTTGACATATCACACACACATATGCGCACACGTGCGTCTCGAGTTGCCACGTGACCTTCAATACCAATTTGTGTATAAAATCAAGTATATTAAAGTGGTTTTGAATTTCTTTTCAGTGATAATCATAAGGAATTTTCAATAAAACTATATAAAATCTAAACAAATCGTTTTTTAAATATAGATTTACATATATATAAATATTTTCTCCAATAATTATATTAATTTATATACAAAAATCGCGTCTAAAATTGTGCAATTCTGTATATTTTATACGTGTAAAGAGTTGCATAGTTGCAGGCTTTTGCAAGTTTTATTTTTATTATTATTCAATTAAATAATCGTATATAATAAAAAATGCTATATATATTTAAATATCAAAATGGCAATCAAGATAAAACTTATTGAGAACAATCAATTGGTGTTAAGAAAACACATTAATTGATTAAAAAAAATATGTTGCAAATTACATATTTTCTTTTAAGCAACTATGTATTTTCTTTTTACCAATTGATTTGTTCTCATTATTCTGTGCATCAATAAAGAATTAATAAGATATGGATGTTACTTAATAAAAAATAATTTTATTATAGTGTTTTGGCTCTCGAGATAAGCTACAAGAATATGTAATGAAAATAAATAAGGGGTTGATTTAAAAAATTCAAAGTGATTTTTATGTGTTCTTGATGGTGCTATTCTGTATTTAAGGTCATATTAATATTACTATATTATGTTCCCTTTAAAACCCTACAACTTTTGTAGGAAATATTTTTTTGTAAAAGGCGTAAGAAATAAAATATTTGGAGTGGGACATTAAAATGACCCACCCGGTATACATATAGTTGAATATTTTTATTTTAACAAAATTAAACAAATCAAATATAGTAGGCCAACTGAACGAGCAAGTAAATAAGATGTAAAAATTTATTAATAGTTAAATAATTAAATTAACATTCCGTTACAGAAACGATATAAATTGTAAACGTTTCGACTGCACTGCAGTCTTTATCAATACATAAAAGTTAAATATTAAAATACAAAGTTAAATGTTAAAAATACAAAGTTAGTTAAATATTAAAATATAAAATTAAAACGATTTTTCGCTGTTGACTAATAGATGTGCAAGGCGATTGGTCTGAGATGCCAAGTTATGCGACATTTAAATATGATTATCGTTTTAACAAGTCCTTTTTCCCGATATTTCAAGTATGTGTTGCGAAGTCTGAATAACAAAATTTTTATTTTAATTTATTAAGTTAGATAATTTCTGAAATTATGTCTAATGAGGATAAATATAAAAATGTTTTATATAATAATATACGACAAATATAAAAAATATTTGATATATAAATGGTTTTGAAGAAAAGCTTGATATTTTATATTTCAAAATTATTTGAAGATCGACACTTAATTTTTTTTAAATGAAATCCTTCTAATTTTTTTATAAATCGATTCTTCGTAATATTTGACATTAGACAAAAAGTTATATAAAATGGCCAAAAGGTGAATAGTTTATGAAATATTTTGTATTTTTTAATTTGACATAATTTTACGTAAATTATAAAATATATCTCATAAAATATTCATTTTTTGAGAATTTAACATAATTTTACTCAAATATAAAATATTGTTATTATGATCTTATTTCCATATTTTTGTATAAAATGAGAGAAATCAATATTGATTAAAAGAAAACACATATTTGTTCTTAAGAAAAAATTCTTAGCTGCTAATAGTTATACAAATTACATGAAATAAAATACCCTATAATATATGTATACAGGATGTATCTGAATGGTCTGTACAAACTTTCAGGATATATGTTCCAGGGACCGAAACAAGCAGAAAATGTCTTATAAACATGGGGTTGCAAATGCTTCTTTCTATAATTATAACGCGTTTTGAAGTTTTCTTGCAGTAGAAGAAATTATCACGTTAAATCGTATAAGAGTTGCAAACTGTATTTATATTTATTTCTATGGATATAATAGGACTACTGTCTTGTTACTTGCTATAGCAAATGCACAAAATGGCCTTCGTTTTGATTTCAAGGAAGCATTTTCTGTTTGTTTTGGTCTCTTGAACTTATTTCCGGAGTTTGTTCAGACCATTCAAATACACCTTGTATATAGAGTGTTAAAAATTAGAGCAACAAATTTTGAAAGAAAATAGAAGATATCAAAATACATATTTTTTGTTAATATTTTATTATTTTTATCTACAATTTTTCTAGTGTTAATACTGCATGATATAAAATAGGAGTTTGTGACTTAAATAATAAACAAACATAATAAATCGAAAAATTAAATTGTAATTTAATCTTTAACAAAATAAAGGAACAAATAAATATATAAACGCAGGGTTAGATAAGTAAATAACTTTATTAAACTAAAGCGGGGAGCGCACACTTTTGCATAGGCGCACAGGCGTAAACATATAAGAATCTTGATTGGTCTATGAACGTATGCATAAGAAATTCAACCAATCGAATTTCTTATGCATATACTTATGCGCTTATGCAAGAGTGTGTGCTCCCCGCTTAAGTTAAGTTAAAGTTATATATAGTTGCTTATAAAATTAATTTAGTTAAATTGAAAGTTGCACGAAAGTTGAACGAAATATTAACTCAATTAAAATTAAGATTAAATTAACTGAAGTTAAATCAAAAGTTAATTTTTAAAAACATTATTTATATTAAATTAGAATTCTGTTTATTAATTCTTTAAAAATTTATAATAACAAACAACAAAGAAATTTTGATTTTATATAGAAATTATATAGAAATATATTTTTGATAATTAACATTGATGACAAATAAACATAAAAATTAATAATATTTCAATTTAAAAGTAATAACTTATAAAAAAGCAATAATGGTTCAAAGATAAAAAACTGAACTTAGAAAAAAAGTTAATAAGTTTAAGGTCAAAAATAATTAGTTAAAAATTAATACATTTAAAATTAACTAAAAGCTACGTTAAAAGTTAGTAACGTTATAACTTTTAACTCATTAACTAGTCATTACCCAACCCTGTATATTTATGAATATGAGTATGAAACGTTCGTCAATTATCGACATATCGCTTACGTTAATCATCGCAAACTTTACTGGATCGTTACGGACTTCATATTGAAGCGCTACAAGCACTGCTTTTCCATGACAGTACCTTCCCTTGTATAATGCTCGATGGAAGATTCATGCAAAATAACGGCCACGATACGATCGCCTCTAAGAATGCCCGTGATATGACGCTATGCGAATCGTTCCTCTTGTCGTATTTTGCATTGCGACTTATGTTGCGAAGGTCGCGGACGGTGGTGAAACCATCAGGACAACGTCAGGTAATTATTTGGATTGTATACTAAATTCTTCTCGAAGGATTTCTTCGTTCTAAGTGTGAAGGTCTTATATAATACGTAGATATATTTTTCATAGCATTCGGTTTTTCCTAGTTTTTCTCTTTTTAAACATTTTTAGAAAATGGTATAAAGCACATCTTCAGACAGAAAAGTGAAGCAGAACGAGATGAGATACTTGTCGATGATAAAGTGACCCCGGAGACGAAGCGGAGGAGAAGACAATCGTTGTTAATCAATCGATTTGACGGTTTGTCGCGAAGCCGCAAAATTATAAACAAGTTGGAAGGAATCAAGCGAAGAAGGAAGAAACGTGCTAAGGACATCACCAGTAATCAAAATGCCTTCAAGAATAATGATATTGATAAAGATGTTGATGAAGAGAAAGACACTTTATCGAAAACACGAGAACTTCCAATTTGGCAAGTTTCGGAACCCACGATTGCTACAATTGATCTGAACTCTGCAATAAATTCGACGATTGTAAGAACAGAAATGATTAATCGCACCATGTTTATGACACCGCAATCGAGAAATTTAAATTCTTATCGTTCCTCTAATAAAGCGATTTCCAAATTCCAAAATTCGAAATACGTAAGAAGCCCCGTTTTTGAAAAACTGATCAACAAGATACCACTTTCTGTGTATCTTCCTAAAACACCTATCGACGTAGATTTGTCAAACTCTAAGTCAACTCAAAGGTTTGAATGGAGAGAGAATTCACTTAATATTAAACAAGATTCACCTAAGGATGATCACTTAACTAAGGATTCTAATGAAAGATTCCTGTTAGTACCGGTTTCTAAGGATTTGTACATTTTGAAGAATATCAAAGATAATTCTGAAACAATTATTCCCAATCGTTCTAAATTATTAGGAAGAAATAAGATTGAAGAAAATACAACATCAGCCATCATCTCGTTTAAGGCTCATATGCACCATGATGTGAAAGACGTAGGTAGAGCGTATCTTCATCATAGAGATTCCAATAATAATCACCGTTTATTCGACACAGATTATTTATATACTGATCTCGATTCTGGTGTCCTTGAAGAAAACACGGAAAGTGTCTCTTCGTCACTTTCATATCCTAATTTCTTATATCCAGGTGTTGCCTTTCAGACTCGTCCCGATTTAAATGACGCAGTTCCTAAAATATTCGACCAACAAGTCACCCTTAGCGTTCCGGATTATAAATATATTTCTTCTGAAAATATGGCTTCGGATGCTGAAGTCATTCCTTACAATTCTTTCATATTCCCATTGACATCTCCTTCTTTCGATACACCAAATTATGACGTATCTTCGTATCTTAAGGAAGATGATCGTTTAACTTTCCCGAATACCGATCATTTCTTTTTTAATAATGCTGAGAATATTTTAAATAATCTAGATAGAAATGAAAATAATATGAAATCTGGAACCTCAATTTCAAGCGAATTTACTGATGAGAAATCGACTTATTCCAACGATTTCAATTACAACAAATTTATTGATGAAATATTGTTTAATAATTATACTATGAAATTGGATTCGTTTCTTAACGTCGAAGATTACACAACATCCTCTTTATTACTTTCCGTCACCAATGAGTGGTCATTGAAGAAGGAGCAGTCTAATGTGGGGAACCCACGCGCTTTATTAAAGGCAATTGAACCGTTGTCCTCGGAGTTAACAAAATTGCTAAGCGCTGTTAAATTGGTCAACCAAAGTATTAGCGACGTACAAACGGACTGTGCGATAAGAAAATGTTATCAGATCAGCGAGGATCGAACGAGATAGTAAAGAGAGAAAACCACGAATATTGCAGAGTTAATTAATAGCAAGGATGATTTCGATCTCTTTATAGGAAGTTCTGACGATCAATCTCTGGACAAGAAGCAGATTAAAATTATAGAAAATATTACAGATCGGATGAATAATGATGTAGAATTTAAGAGAAAATTTAACGACTACTTCTTAAATAAATTAACAACACCGCTGCACAAACGAGGAAGCTCGAGTAGCAGTGATCGCAAAATGCGCAATAATCATAGAAACTTAAAATTAAACGAGTTCGCAGACAAAGTAAAAGATAACAAAATAAATTTTTTATTAAATAAGAAACGAGAGCTGACAACGCGATACAGTGGAACGAGTAAATTGTCTAGCGACAAGGAGAAGAAATATTCTTCCGTGGACCCGCAATCTCATTTTTTTAGGGAAGCGACGGCTTATCTCGACATACTTCGATTGTTGGACATGACGAAGAAACCTTATGTGGAACTGACTAACATTGTAACAGAGTCGCTGATCTCAACTACAGAGTTTTTTGGCATTACAATCTTGCCCTATCCTATTGAGAGATCAATAACTACCACTATGGAGACATCTACAACAAAGGAGAAAATAGGTTATGAAGTTGTGGAAGCTATATCACTGACACAATTGTCAGTTACGTTGAGTGCTTTCACGATAACGATGCCTACTACACCGTCACAATTTTATACGACAGAACTACCAATTTTTCCGATTAATGAAATCCTTCAAATTGAAAAAACAACGTTGGCTGTTGCGATGCTTACTGAAGTGACTGAAACTTCTACGGTAAAATTGACAACCAAATCTGCCATGCTGTTAACATCATTTTTAGAAGGTATCACAAATATTACTTTAAGAATCACAGTTCCTGCGATTACTTTGACAACTTTAATCGAGGAGGCATTCACGACTGAGGAAGAAATTGTAGAAAGTACATCGACGATGAAGGTAATGCAAAGTTTCCCTGCCGAAACAAGCATATCTTTGTATATAACTTTGACCGTACCATCATTTATAACTGCAGAAACTGCAGAATCGATAATTCAAGCAACAACTCCTACCATACCAGTTTTAACATCATTGATAGTTACAAAACAACCTCGAATTACAATACCGATAGAAGAAGCTACTTCTGTAACTGAAAAAATGGTTACAGTTATAAGTCCAACTATAATGATAACTAAATCTACAGTTATTTTAGATGAGAATACAACTTTGTATAAAGCTATAACGTCGGCAAGTACTGCAAAAATAACAGAAGCTAGTTTAGCCGCCGGAGAAATTAAAATGACATCTATAGAGAGTACAACTATTACAGAATATATAACTTTACCAACCACACAATTTGTTTCAACTGCGCAGATAACTAAAGGTACAACTAAAACATCAATAACTTCAACTATCACAGCAATCACAAGCTCGCCTACAATTTCGGAAAGAACAGAGACGATTTTAAGCACATCGACAGAGATTACTATAATTACTTTAATACCGGAAACAGAGAGTCCAGTGACGCAGATCGAGAAAACTATAACAACGGAAGAAATAACGATGGCAACCCCAACAATTATTGAAACTCCAATGACTACTAAAATTTCGATAATTAGCGACACTTCAATGTTTAATGAAACTTTAACATCTCCAACAACTACCGAAGTTTCACCTACAAAAAGAACCGAAACCGTTCTAACCACTATAAAAGCAACAATCACAAAAATTCTAACGCCTTCTGGAATTTCAACAATTATCAACACTTTATCTTTCAAACTTCGAACAACCATTAAATCTTCAACGACTACCGAAATCTCGACGTTAATTGAAAGTCCAACAACTACCGAAATTCTAACGACTATCAAAACTTCAATAATTCCCGAAACGATTGAGAGCACTTCAATATCTATTACAGTCACTACAGCAAAGACATTTCCAACTACGTTATTAATAACGACAAAATCTGCTACAACTTCTGGTAAAATCACAGTACTACCAACTATACTTACTACATTAAAATTAACCACACCATTATTCTTGGTCACAAATACAACGCTAAGCGAAACGCCATGTACTTTTTTGACAGAAGAAATTGAGACTACAACTTCTTCAATAACATCTACAATATCCTCAATTAAACCAACTACAATATCTACAATTAAATTAACTGCAATATCTACAATTAAACCAACTACAATATTTACAATTAAAACAAAGCCAACTACACTGTCTATATTAATGACTACAATGACATTTTTAAATACAAGTGTAACAATAAATAAAACACTGTTCACCACTATTTTTACCACGTTTAAAACAGCAACAATCGAGACCGCGACTTTTCCAATGAGTCCTGTTATTACAACATCTCCGTTCGATGTTACGCAGGAAACAACGCTAATTCCATCAATTGTGGGTACAAATACAACGCTAAGTGAAATAACTTTTAATACGTCTTTGATAGAAATGACCGAAGAGTTAACTTTGACAACTATATCGTTAACTGAAATAGTTTCCACAACGAGTTTAGTTGAATCAATAACGGAAGAGCTTATTGCAACTTGGATCACTACAGAAGAAACCATTATCACAGAAGCGACAACTTTAATGACGTATGTACCATTATCTACCACAATGTTTTCTATCGAAATCACGACAGAAACAACTTTGTTTGAAATGGAAACAGTTAGTGCTATAAGTAGCGAAGAAATATCCACAATCGCAAAAGTTACAGCTGTTAGTTTTACTACAATAACTGAAGAATCTTCTTTGATAAAAGAGATAACAACATCTGTTACATCATTGCCAATTACTGAAAAACTAGAGCAAATAACAATCTTAAAATCTGATATGACGTTTAATTCTCTGTCCGAATTTACTTTGTCAATATTAATTACGACGGAAACATCCGCTACTATGCCGGAAGTTATTTCCGTATTATCAGAAACTATATCGGAGGAAAGAGAATTTACAACGAAATTAACAAGTCCATCAATAACATTCACTTTAGAAAGTTCAACATTATTTACCGAAAGAAGAATTCAGCCCACTATTTCAACTTTAACAGCGATCACTACGGAAATGCCAGAAGCCGAAACAGAATATTACGTAGCAAAGGAACCATTCTATGAAGAATATGAAGAGTATGAGAAATACGATACTGAAATACCCACTGATAATTGGTATTATTATGAAGAGTATGAAACTACGGTGAAGAGTAAAACGACTACGACATCGAGTACAGTAAAATATACAAAACTGCCTAAAGAAACAGCAACAAGTTCATCTTTTGATAAAGGTACAACATCTTCGTATGAAATAAAAACTTCAAAGTTTACAATGTATTCTACAACTTCTATATCGACTCATACTGATGTAATTTTAACTACAACTACCGCAAAAATACCTTACACATTCGTTGAAGAAAAATTTACTATAACTTCTATCTTGAAAACATCTGCGAAGATTATTGAGAATGTAACGACGACTGAAGTAGAAACCATGTTTACAACATCCATGACGAGTAAAGAGGAAGAATCGACGACAATAATGACGTTAACCTTTGGCTCTACGGAAGAATATACTCTTCTCCCTTCGACAGTTTTCGAAATCATCACGAAACCGCTTGAATACCTGACGATTCCTGCCAAATATACAGAACCTACATCAAAATTTTTGACGCAGATCTGGTATAGTGTTACCGCGCCGGAAGAGATTTCGACTTTACAAAAAATTTCGACGGAGATTGAATTTACTTCAGTGGAGAAGTTGATTTCCTTTTTCGTCTCATCAACGTTGACGACATTATCGGAAAGAGAAGCTATTGGGGTAACAACCTCAGAGATAAAAACTGCTACCGAAGTAATCACTTTGGCGACGAAGTTAATTACAAAAGAAGAGACTACTCCGTATACCACAACTGTCCCAGAAATTGAAACCGAATTTATTACGAGACGAACTACAATTAGGCGAGAGGAACAGAGAAAACAGTTACTGCAACTACTCAAGGATCTCAAGCAGCGTGAGAGAGAAGTGGCGGAGAGAGAGGAAAGGTTAAAGGAAAAGGAACGACAATGGGAAAAGAAGAAACATGAGGAAATAATGCATCGTGAAAGGGAGAAGACAAAGAATATTACAATAGTGAGTGGTACAACTGCGAGTTATGTTACTGTAACTGTATCTCCTACTGTAGAGATTAAAATCACATCTTTTCTTCTCGAGACGTCGAGTTTAGCCGAGATTATTACAACTTTCATCAAAACAACGCCATTATACATCACAGAGGAAGGTATATTTGCGACTAACATCACAGAATGGACAGAAGAGACTACGGAAGAAAGTACTTCTGTGTTTTCAATATATATGGCAGAAGTAACAGAGGAAACGGCTATACTTTATACTACGGAGGAAAGTACCTCTGTTGTAGACTTATATAATGTCAGTTTGGTTTCGATCGAAACCACCACCGAAGAAATGTACACTACGAGTTATAAAACCGCTTACCTGAGTGAACCTTTATTTACTTTGCCTACGATGGTGTTCACCAGTCCGATTACTTTGGCTATTGACGAATTCACTACTTTACCTACTGCTACATTTACCAGTTCATATAAAATGGGTGTAACTTCAATAGCGATCCCAGTTATTACAAAAGAAAGATATACTACAAGTTATGTAACTCTTTGTAGTGCTTTTCCATTCACTACAATGACAACATTAATTAGTCTAATCACACCGACTATTGGTATTACTTCACCTATTTCGAGTACAACCTCTATTTCGTATATTACGGAAAAAACAGTAGACATTTATAGCGAATCTTCTGTCACTTCATTAGCATTTATTGAGACAACTACAGCTATTGCAATTAAGGAGATGGAATATGATGAAGAAATAGAGAGTCTGAAGGAAGAATTGCGCAAGAAGGAACGCGAACTGGAGAAGAGAGAACAAATGTTGCTGGAAAGAGAGAAACGATTAGAGAATAATATAATGGAATTTGAATTGTATATGAAAAAAGTCAAGGAAGAGGAAACATTGCGCACATTGATTGCATTGTCTGAAAAACCGATTGTGCCGACGAGTTTATCAACGCTTGTCCCACCGACCGAAAAAATCCAAGTAGCAACGCAGATTGAAAAAGTAACCGACCAGAAAGAAAATCAAACTACCACAAAAATGGTGACTTCGCCATACAAGGCTACAAAAGTGAAAGATATTAAAGAGGAAAAGCGGACAAGATATGTTCCCGAAAAGGTCGTGACACAAAAGATGGAAGAAGAGATTGTGACGAAAAGAATATGCCTGAACGTTCTGGAAAATACGACGATTCCTTTTGTAGCAAAGAAAGTGTGTCTATCATATTTCCCTGAAAAAAACAGAGAACAGAAGTCGGTAGGTCGTGTAAACAGAAAGCTTCTCTCGTTGAAAAATACGAGAGAAATTAGGAAGTTAAAATTTCGAAATTTTTCATCAAATTTTCGGTATAAACGAGCGAGAGGAGAGATAGGAACGACACGTAAAATTGATAACTTGCAATTATCGCATCATGAATGGCTGAGTAACGGAATCACAAAACCAATGCGACATTTTAAAGGTTTCACCAGGATCTATGGAAAAAAGGAAAATATTTCTCCCATTAATACAGAAGAAGATTCTATCCATAATTTTCGAGGTAAAACTTCTCTTTACGAACAACGTATTCTTGATCCCTATGAAAATAACTTTCCAAAAACTTTTACGTTAGTTAAGAAATACAGAAAAAGAATGGCTTATTTCATCGAACATAATTTAATTTCTGCAAGAAGGAATAACTTCTCCAATAACAATGGTAAATGTATTGAAAAGAGAAATGTTTTGCCAGCAGAGAAAAATACAGCCAGCGTTTCGAATCAAAAAGCTACAAGTGCAATAATCGAGGAAGAGAAATTAGGTGAAAAAGAGGATGAATTTTACACGGTAAACGTGCTACATCTCAGCTATAATAAAGACAGAGAGACGCATGAAGTAATATCCGCTAAACCGAATAAAGACGAATTAGCAATGATTATATCTGAGTCAAATGACGACAGTGATGTTACCAAATTTGAGGAAGATGATAAGATTGCAACGTCGTACTATGAAGAGAAAAATAATTTACAAGAGGGAAACGATCTACAGGAGGAAGAAAAATCAGCAGAAGATGAGTCTTTCGAGGATATGTTCGAAAGTATAATAAATAGAGCCCTTTTTGAATATCATTAATTTCTACGGATTTATTTATTTTTATTTGTTATAATGTTTTTGCACATTGTCAACTGTAAAAATATAATTAATGTCCCATTTAATCGATCACTTTAAAAAAACTTTTTTATTTTTTCTTGTAATTTTCTTTCTAAATTTTCGTAATAACATCACGTTTGGCTCTATTGGCCGAGATGGAGATGTTTTTTTGTTTTCGATACAATTTATATATAAAAAAAATAATAGTTAATTAAAAAAAATATAAATGATCTTGAAAAGTCACTTTTAGAAAAAGCTAGTAGCGCCATTTTCTGTCTTTCTATAAGTCAAACAACTTTTATTTGAAACATTTTCTTGTACAATTAAAAATAAAAAAAAATTTTGGAGTGATATATATTATACACACATATAAACTATAATTATACATATAACTATATTTTATATAATAATATTTTATATATAAAATAATTTTATATATAATTATATATCTACTATTAACTGTGTAAACTTCTATTTTCAGATAATATTATACTCTATTTTTTATTTCTATAACCTAATTTTATATAAATAATATGTGAAAAAGTAATTTTTTTCTTTTTCTAATAATTGTTATATTGTAGATTATATGAATTATGAAGAACATACGACATCGGTGTCGATACGTGACGATAAATTTTTACACGACAGAGGTGAGAATAAAAGCAAGATGGAAAATGAAGCAAAATTATTAAATCAAATATGGCCTACGGAAAAAAGTACGACGTATCACCTGGGTGGCACTAGATTTTGGGAACTCGAAGTTACGGAACCGTCAGTTGTATTTAGTTTTACAACTGAAGAAAGCGAAGCTATTAACGTATCGGTTACTAGAACAACGTGTCTCTACGTTGTCCTAAAAAATAAAATAAGCACCGACGCGGAAATGAAACGTAATATACATTACAACAAACGAAATGTTTATAATAATAAAACGAAAAAGTATAATATTTATATGGAGAAGCAAAAAATCGGTCTTAAAAATATAACGCGAAAGAATACGCAAAATTTGCGCGAATTGAATCGACACGAACAGAATTCCGAAGTGAAAAGAAAACCTGACGAGTTTTCTTCGCGTATTAGCAATAAAGATTTAATAACAGCAAAAACTCGAAAATTGTGTAGTGTCAATGGAAACAAATCAAAGCATCGAATAATTAAATCTAAAGATAGTATAAATATCAGAGATAAAACTAGAAAGAGACAATCAGCAAAATCGCAAAAATCACAAAACATTAGTTTGCACTCTTTTAAAAGTTGTACAGACAGCTGTAGCGTAAATAAAAAAAATTCGGACAAAACAATTACAAAAAGCAGCGATAACAACAAGAATGATAAGAAAGTGAGGAATAACGAGAGAAAAAAACATTATTTAAATTGCATTTGCGATATCGTGAACGTGATTAAGAATATAAAATCTATATTGAACAGAGTAAGCTTTTCGTTGGACGAAATTAAGGAGCTTAATTGTAGCGTATATAAAGAGACCCAGGATAAGATAGTGATTTTGATGGATTCTGACGTGGAAGAAGCTAAAGAATTTCCACAGCCTCATTATAACATCGAATCGTTGAAGGGCCAAAAATATCTCAAGCTGAAAGAGTTGGAAGATGATTTTATTAAGAGCGATTTGGAACTCGGCAATGGTATTTTTTTTTGCAATTTTTTTGCAAATACAAATTCTTTTGTATTGAGTTTTATCCTTTTTTTAGATCATGATATCGTTTCATTGCCCGGTCTTAATCTTAATTTGCCCTGTAATCAAGACGGGGATGGTATCACTTGGCTATCGAGTATCAGCAGACCGAGTTATGTATGGAAAAGGACCGACGGCATCGCAATTTTTGGTTTGCATATTGACATTTTAATACTAAAATATATATATATATATTTTTATTAAAATATATTAGAATATTTTAATTAATTTACGTAACGATATCTATGATCTATGAAATCTTTATTAACTTTTTGCAGGTTTTGTGGCTGAAAACGGTGATTTGGCATTGCGAAACGTAAATGCCAAAGATACAGGAAATTACACATGTATTGCGACATATATAGGCCCTGAGACTGAAGAACCTGTAGAAACTATCTACGAAGTTCGTTTGCAAGGTGAATTATCGATTATTAATTATGGTGACATTTATTTTACCGAATTATATTTTTTCGAAACTTAACTTCACTAAACTAATATTTCTTATCGAGTATTTAATATTTTTTTGTCAAATATATATTTAATATTTTTTATCAAATATTTTTTCTTCGAAATATTTATTTTGTCGAGTTATATTTTTTCTGAAACTTAATATTTTTATCGTGTATTAAATATTTGTTTATCGAGTATTTATTTTTGAAACAAAATATCGAAATAATTATTTTATCGAAATATATTCGTATTTCTTTTTGAAACTTAATTTTACCAAATTATGAAGATAATCTTCTACAGTTGTAACACTACCAAGATACATTATACACGGTGAAAATCGTTACTATGCGCGATCTTGCGACGAAAGGGATTTGGACATATTGATGACGTATCTTCCAGTTAAACTGAATGATATTATATGCGAGACAGATATTTGCAATGCTTATATCTTGACACCATCTTGCTCTCGAAGCCAAGTACGTTTCGAAATATTATATAAAATAAAAATGTTTTATTTATTCAGCAAGTCCCTCTTAATTTAGAAAGAATTGTGATATTGCTTTGTTATAGATCACAATAAATATTTTGTTATTGCCATCGCATATCGTCAAATTGATGACAATCGATTCCAAACGTTGCAATGTCTTTTGTCTTCAAGCCATTCAGAACAAACTTTCGTTGATACTGAGTAAAAATTTAAAAACTCTTCTTACGAAAACTAGTTAGTTGATATCTGTGTACTCGTTTTATTTTGCCGCAACATATTCTCTATTTTTTTTTGTAATTCGAAAATCACGCATAATATTTTATTAAAAAATTTAAATGCTAATGTATTTTAATGCAAAAGATTTTGAAATATGGCTTATTTTTATTTTATCAAAAAATGTTTTAATATTTTATACACAATAAGAAATAATTGATTAAATACTTTTAATCTTATAGAAGAGAAATGTTGCGGCTTTACAATTTACAATAGCATCTCTATAGAGTTCTTTAACTACAGTTATTTTCAGATTACCTCATTATGAGCAGAGATTGGTTCCGATCGCTGAAAAATCCACGTTTGCAAGATGGAAAAGAGGAAGGACAAATGGATTTGCCCGAAAAACTAGCAATATCGGCCTGTTTTCCAGCTGCCCGGCTGGATATGGTCTTCATAGCACACATTGTAGTATGTATTATATTTTTTGTTTGCACACGATATTGATAAGACACACAAAGTGCATATATAAATAAATTAAAATATACTTTCAGTTCCTTGTAATATGGGAACTTATAGCGAAGACGGAATATCACACTGCAAAAAATGCCCACCCGGTATGTATCAACCGAATCATGGTGCCAGAGTTTGTCGTACGTGCACTGATCCATTGACCAAAGGCTGTTATAATATGGTACATATCCAATTAATTGCAATTTGTTAAATATATAATATTTTTAATTAAATATATCTCCACTTTAGAAGTAAAAATATCCTCTGAAATCTTCTAAAATTAAAATATCTACTAAAATGAAAATCTCATTTAAAATAAAGATATCATCTAAATATTTTATAAATATAAAATAAAAATATCCTCTAAAGTAAGGAAATCTTCTAAAAGGAAAATATCTATTTGAATTTGTTAATATATTTTTAAATTAAATATAGCTTTACTTCAGAAGTAAAGATATCCTTTGAAACGCGCGAAATCTTCTAAAATAAAAATATCTACTAAAATGAAGATATCATCTAACTACTTTATAAAATAAAAATATCTTGTGAAGTGAGGAAATCTTTTAAAATGAAGATATCTATTTAAATTTGTTAATATAATATTTTTAAATTAAATATATCTTTATACTTTAACAGTGAAAATATATAATCTAAAATGAAGATATCTACTAAAATGGAGATGTCCTTTGAAGTAAAAATATATTTAATTAAAAAATATATATTTAACAAAAAGTAGATATTTTCTTTTTATAAGATTTCCTCATTTTAAAAGATGTTGTTATTTTATATTTATAAAGTATTGCACATACAATATATGCATATATAAGTTGTTCTTTTATAGCTCTGGAGTTCTTTTTCCGCTATAATGATAACTTTGGCAAGTCTCGGCGTGATGCTATCGATATTTTTGCTATTCTTATGGATAATCTGCTGCGCTAAGAAGAAATTTTGCGCAAAACAGATAGCTAGTATTATACCTAAAGAAGACGCATTTGAACAAGAGGTAAAATTATACAATTGTAAAAGAAAAAGAAATTGTGAAACAATATAATAAATGATTTTTTGTTAATTTACAGAATCCTACACAGGAGCAATTATTAATTAAAGATGAAAGTGAAAATGAAGATCAGCAATGGGATAATGAAAACAAAGCTAAAAAAGAAAGAAAAATTGTATCTAAGTAAAAACGTCGAAAACAAAATGAAAGAGGAACATACGAAAAGATGCGGGTTTGTAAAATAATACATATATATATATATATATATATATATGTATAATATATATAAATTATATATATATTACAAATAAATATATAAATTTTTATTAATAGAATATCTTATCATTTTAACTTGAGCAGAGAATCGAAGATTATTATTGAATAAAATTAAAAAATTTTGCTTTTGATCACTATAGGTACGTGAAGATGAATGGGGATCGCATCGTATAAAAAATACTCCGATCGTTTGCCCGGATTCTTATCGGTCTCATGAAGATTATAACAACTGTAAGCATTTTCTAATATATAAAATATTAATGTATAGAAAATGTAAGTTTTTGATATTTCTTCTTTATATAAATTTTACGTATTCTCACGCATGTATAATAAATTTATATAGATTATTCAAAGCAATCATATCGTAAAGGACCCCGACTGCCAGAATGTGATTTCGATACATGATAAAAGACGCGATATATCAGAATATGTTACAAATAGCGCAGAAGAGAATTGTGTAGTCTAAGAAAGATAAGATTGTATAAATATTTTAGATTTAATTTTACTTTGTATGTAACATCCGTCCGATAGGCACACATTTATTTTTCCTGTCAAGAGATAATTATATAAAATAATTATGAGACATTATTGTATTATTGTATTGAAACATATGTTATAATATAAATGTTATACGCATAGCATATACAAATATAAAATGTTTCGATATGTAAACTATTATTAATTTGCTCTTGATATTATATTCCATGTTCTTCATATATCTATAAATTATTTTTATTTTTGGAATTATATCAAGCCTTTTTGGAATTTTAACACAATTATTTTTATGATTATCAGTAGCTCATCAATTTACTAACAAAAAAGAAAAAAAACATAAATAAAATGTAAATATTTAGTCATAAGATTTACTCAATGAGTAACTTGAAGAAAAGTGATTTAAAACAAATTTCTCTATCTTATGTAGAAGTTATATTTATATTTTATAGTTACAATAGTTTAATATATAACAAGACTGTGTGCAGATAGATGTTTAATTAAAGAAAAAATTATAAATCAAATCTTTTCTTGGCGATAAACTAAAATAAAAAATATTTATTTAAATAATATCTTGGCCGTGAAAAGCAGCCTTTATTTAATCATAAATACCTCGTATTTGTAAGATTGTAGAAATTAGATTATCTCCATTAACATTGTTGTAAAAATTCAAAGTTAAGTTTAGATATGACAAATGTCATATGTTAAAGAATGATTTTTATTATAAACACATACATTTCCTATTGCAATAATTTTTGTACAGCCTTACAGCATTGGTATGATACTACACTACTACAATGCATCCAGGTTAATCTAAAAAAAACCAGCATTTTTATTACACTAAAATCTTCATCAAAAATTTGGATGATTGAAAAATGACATTCCTCACATACATACCAGAAATTTACTTCAACAACTGGTGACGGACCACTAAGAAGGGAATGGAGAATCCACTACCGCAGAAGATCATAAACAGGGCCAACAATTTATGCCTGTTTTGCGTGCTGAATGGTAAGTTCTGTGGAAGACAATAGAAATTATAAAATATAGAATATATAATTATAAAATGTAGAAATAAATAAATAAGACATAACAGCTAAAAGATTTTTATGCAATATACAAATACTTCACACGTTCGAGCGTTATGTAATCGGACGAACTGTCACTTACGTATCCTGGCACACCGTCGTAAGGATCGTGACCTCCCCTGCGAACTGCGCTCGTCATAAACCTCCTCACCGCCTGCCGAGCAACCATGCTCGTCGAATTGATCATTTTCGCTGAAATTACACGAAACCGCACGTTTCTGTCAACAGTTCTCGCGCAAGCAAGATGGCAACTCGTCCAGAAGTCGTCTGCTTCGGCTAGGGTAGCCAACTGAGGAAGAAAAATAAAGACCAATACGTAATGCGCGACGCAAATTTTGTCCAATCAAATTAGGGTGCGATTACATGGACGCGCGGAAACGCGGAAGAGAAAGTAACTAAACTTTACTAGAGTCCCGCATTTCCGCGCGTTCCGTTCCGTCTGTTTTGATTGCCTTATATTACATGGAGCACATTTTGAGCGGAAAAGCGGAACGGGGAATTATAAAATATTAATATCAGAGAGAAAGATGAGAGCGGCCAGGCCGGCGTTTTGGCTGTTACCGTTTTTACGGGACTGCTTGAAGCGCCCCTCGCACCCGTTTTTAATATCGGAACTAACTGCACACCCATTTTCTGGCAGGGTCGATAAAGTTTGTATTTGGTGCGAGTCCGTGCTACGCCCATAATTTTCGTGTTAACACAGTATCACGTATTCATTCTGTATATGTGCGATCTTTTCTCTTTATTTATATATATATATATATATATATATATATATGTATTTATATAATTTGTATAAAAACTAAAATATAATTATTAAAATATATATATATATATGTATATGTGTAATGAAATATATAAATCTTATTTTAATTAAAATAAAAAGAACGATTAATTGTTCGACCACCTGGATTTTGGAATGTAATTTTTAATATATATTATATTATATTTAATATTTATCGCCGCTTCTATTAATATGAAGTGCAATGTCAACGTGCAATAATGTACAATTATTTAAAGTTTCCATGCCTAATGTATCATGCCGGTATAAAAGAACGTCAAGTAGCATGCGTAGCCGAGCAACTAAGATGACGAGCTGAAATCGTGGACATTTCAAGTTCAAACCCCTGCCTTTTTCAGATTTTTTTTTCACTTTTTTCAAATAAGTTATTATGTGTATAAATGTGTAATAATCAATATATCATTATTTGATAATTTTTTTTGTAATGGAACAAAATAAATTATTTTTAATTCTGCAAGAAATTTAATTATTATGCAAACGCCCACACACATAATTTAGATATTCAATTTTTTTTAGTTCAAATGTTTCTTGCAATCTGTATACGACAATCAGTCCACTCGCTGTGCCACAGATTGCATCGCATAATACGCTCAGAGTTATAATACGATAGAGATCGCTTTACGCTGTTTTTCCTTGAAATAAATAAATTTTACGTGTTGTGTACGCGTGTTTAGTATATTTGTTTCTTTCATATTAATTTTAACTATAATTAGTTTTTTAATTAAGATTATTTTAGTGTTAGTTGTTTATTTGTTAGTGTCCTGTTTTCTTTAATTTCGCATTTTTTAATTTTCTTTTTTTTTTGGTGTTGGTGCTAATTATTATTTTTATTTTACAATGTCGAGTAAACACCGGTTTTACGATAAATGTGTGTATTTAAATTGCACAAATATTAGGACAAAAGATGGAAAACGTTTATTTCGATTTCCATTACAAACGGGTGCGAGACATGATTTATGGTTACGCAATAGTGGTGAGTTTATAAAATTGATTTACTTATTTATATCAATATATAATATATATTGATATGATATATGAAACAAATATATATATATATTCTTTGTTTTTTTTAATAAAATATGTCAGATATTATGTATGTTTACGTATGGATTACGTTGAAGTGTTTCTTTGCCGCGTTTTTCTGATCTCGCCGACGGTTCGCGAATCCTGTGCGAATAAAAAACGATGCGCGTGTGTGTGTGCGTGCGATTGTGATGATCAGTTTCAGTTCGTCTTCAACGCTTCAAAAATAATATAAAATCGTTCTAATGTGTTATACAAAAATATGTTTTTATAAACTTACAGCAGTTCGGGACCTCTTCTCTCGTCAAGCGTCAAAAACTAATTATAGTTAAAATTAATATGAAAGAAACAAATATACTAAACACGCGTACACAACACGTAAATTTATTTATTTCAAGGAAAAACAGCGTAAAGCGATCTCTATCGTATTATAACTCTGAGCGTATTATGCGATGCAATCTGTGGCACAGCGAGTGGACTGATTGTCGTATACAGATTGCAAGAAACATTTGAACTAAAAAAAATTGAATATCTAAATTATGTGTGTGGGCGTTTGCATTAATAATTAAATTCCTTGCAGAATTAAAAAATAATTTATTTTGTTCCATTACAAAAAAAATTATCAAATAATGATATATTGATTATTACACATTTATACACATAATAACTTATTTGAAAAAAGTGAAAAAAAAATCTGAAAAAGGCAGGGGTTTGAACTTGAAATGTCCACGATTTCAGCTCGTCATCTTAGTTGCTCGGCTACGCATGCTACTTGACGTTCTTTTATACCGGCATGATACATTAGGCATGGAAACTTTAAATAATTGTACATTATTGCACGTTGACATTGCACTTCATATTAATAGAAGCGGCGATAAATATTAAATATAATATAATATATATTAAAAATTACATTCCAAAATCCAGGTGGTCGAACAATTAATCGTTCTTTTTATTTTAATTAAAATAAGATTTATATATTTCATTACACATATACATATATATATATATATTTTAATAATTATATTTTAGTTTTTATACAAATTATATAAATACATATATATATATATATATATATATATATATATATATATATATATAAATAAAGAGAAAAGATCGCACATATACAGAATGAATACGTGATACTGTGTTAACACGAAAATTATGGGCGTAGCACGGACTCGCACCAAATACAAACTTTATCGACCCTGCCAGAAAATGGGTGTGCAGTTAGTTCCGATATTAAAAACGGGTGCGAGGGGCGCTTCAAGCAGTCCCGTAAAAACGGTAACAGCCAAAACGCCGGCCTGGCCGCTCTCATCTTTCTCTCTGCTATACCGTTCCGCTTTTCCGCTCAAAATGTGCTCCATGTAATATAAGGCAATCAAAACAGACGGAACGGAACGCGCGGAAATGCGGGACTCTAGTAAAGTTTAGTTACTTTCTCTTCCGCGTTTCCGCGTTTCCGCGTTTCCGCGCGTCCATGTAATCGCACCCTTAGGTCTTTCGATGAAGTACGGCGGTGATGCTTGGTTGGCCAACCTGTCAGTTGCCATACGAGATACTTGTTGCGCATGCGTGGGATTATTAGGCGCGTTAATCCGTGTTAATCTAAATAAACCGTTTCGATTAAACGTAATTAAATTATCCACGTGTGCAATAGTGAAACAATTATTTTATATTAATCTGTAATAGTAATGTAAAGTGATAAGGAAGAAAGAAGATATTTTGTGTAAAAATTCAGTGAATTTAAATATCACTTAATTATTTAATATACCTTATTATTAATTAGATATTTTTTGCTACTCGCTTAATATATAGGAAAACATTTTTATATCAGCTTGCATGTATTTTGTGAAAATAATTTATAATAATTATACATAGATAGCTTCCATTTTTATATTTAAATAAAATAAAGTTATACTACTGTCAAAATGTAATTCATTAATCCATTTAAATATTATTGCAATTTAAATTTCCATCAGTTTTACATATAAAATTTTAGATAAATATTGTTGTTACTATATATATATATATATATATGTGTGTGTGTGTGTGTGTGTGTGTGTGTGTGTGTGTGTGTGTGTGTGTGTAAATTTGTATACTAAATATGTTAAAAATGTCGAAAAAATATCAAATTTGATATAAATATACATTTGGAAATTTGCAAAATTACATTAACACTACAGAAAAGAAAATAATAATAACTTATTAAGATTCTTACTTTTTATATGTTAAAAAATATGATAACTAATTAAGATTCTTACTTTTAATATGTTAAAAATATCGAAAAAATCAAATTTTTTATAAATATACATTTGGAAATTTGCAAAATTACATTAACACTAAAGAAAAGAAAATAATAATAACTTATTAAGATTCTTACTTTTTATATGTTAAAAATATGATAACTAATTAAGATTCTTACTTTTGATATGTTAAAAATATGTTAAAAATATCGAAAAAAATCAAATTTTTTATAAATATACGTTTGAAAATTTGCAAAATTACATTAACACTAAAGAAAAGAAAATAATAATAACTAATTAAGATTCTTACTTTTTATTTACTTAAATTTATTATACTTATATTAATATATAGTTATATTATATTTTATAATAAAAAAATCAATAAAGCTCCAAAATTGAAATAAAATAATCGACTATGGGAAGGTAAGTGCAAAGCAATAAAATGAACGCAGCTACTAAATAAGAACAAAATTTATTTATATACAAATATATAAATGTAATTGTGGGATATTTTACATAATATATATTTAATGACGCGTTTTACATTTTTCTAATATAAGAAATCTAAAACTTAATATATATTATTTTATTATTAATTGTATTATTATTTATAATATATAAGTTCGCAACAAGTAATTTTTTCACGGAATACAGTTTTAATTAACGTATTTATTGTGTATTTTATAACATTATTATTACACATTGTTTTAGTTATCACAATATCTCTATAATTAATTGATAGATATAATATTTTATAAATATTATATACAAATATACAAAATGTAATTGTGGGATATTTTACATAATATATATTTAATGACGCGTTTTACATTTTTCTAATATAAGAAATCTAAAACTTAATATATATTATTTTATTATTAATTGTATTATTATTTATAATATACATGTTCGCAACAAGTAATTTTTTCACGGAATACAATTTCAATTGACGTATTTATTGTGTATTTTATAACATTATTATTACGCATTGTTTTAGTTATCACAATATCTCTATAATTAATTGATAGATATAATATTTTATAAATATTTGATGCTAAATGGTGCAAAAAGGAATTACTTCTTTAATGTGACAATTGAATATATATAATCGTAGATTTTTATACATATAGTCGCATATCATAATCTGATATATTTATTACATATTTTTTTATAAATTTATTACATAACCATCACCGATATATAAAGGATTAAATATGCTTGACACAGAATTTAATGGTTGTATATACAATATAAATAATTCATTTGAACGTCAATAAAAAGAGCTGTATCGATTAAATCTCTTCGCACCTTTTTAAATATAAAATATACGCCATAATTCGATGTGTCTCGTCATGCTAAAATAATAGGAGCTTCGCGGAAATATATCTAAATAAACAACAGCTAATTATCGCATGATAAAGTTCGATTTAATTAATTAATTCAATTGATCCCGCGGCCGCGCATCGCAATATCCAGAGTAATTTATCGAACAACGATGTGTCATGTTGTCGTGAAAACAAATTCAATGTACGTACATGGTATATATCCTTTTGTGTTCCTCGCTTTTGTGAAATTACAATGACTTTAATTAAGGACCGTTGCAAATTGTCTTTGGTAACCATTGCGAATCGAAACACGATGAGATGAGGCTTAAACGGTGCGTATCACGTTTATATATCGTGGCCAAATGACGTGTGCACGATGCATTTAACGCACTCACACACCTGAAACTTTGCTCACCTTTATTTTTCTCAAAGTAAGAGAGCGCTAGAAGCCAGGTAAAAAAAGCAAATTTCAGGCGTAAGAGTACTGTCAAGAGAAAGGGAAAGAGAGAGAGAGAGAGAGAGAGAGAGAAAGAAAGAAAAGATGTCCATTCTATGATGATCCGCTATTTTCCTCGCGAGAGGAAGAGGGTTGATAGGTGACGTCACAAACACACCTGAAACTTTGCTCACCCAATGTTAAAAACGGGCCGAGCAAAGAGTCAGGCCCACCTGTAACGTTCAGCAGTTTTCTTCTTTTTCTTCTTTCGTTTTCTTCTTTTAATCTTCTTTCCATCGATGCAGCAACAACATAGTTGAAAAATTTCTGTTAAATTTAACAGATATGTCCCAAACGGTTCAATTTTTGTGTAGAAATGTTAAATGGAGACACGGAATAAGTACTGTGTTAAAATATATTAACAAAAAATAAATGCAAAACTTCAAGCAATTTAAAATAAATTGTGTAAAATTTACATAGTTTTAATGTAAAAATAAACTAACCATATGCTGATTTTAGATTTTATCATCCCCACTTATATTATAAAATAAAAAATCAACATTTTTTCTGTAAATTTTAACAAATAAATCTTGTCACTAATAAAACAGAACATATTATGTAAAATTAAAAATAAATACACATTGTGTTATTTTTACATCTTTTTTCAGTTGTTTTAATAATTTAACATTTAAGTTCAATTAACATAACAGCAATATGTTAAATTAACACATAAATGTGTTAAATATTTAACACAAAAATTTTAACAGAGACAATTTTTAACAAGAAAACAAATTTTCCTACTGTGAACGGATGCAGAATGAGTAGAAAAGAGAGGAGAAAAGCTTTTTGTTTTTTGTCGAAATTAATATCAATTAAATTGGGGAGGGAGAGAGGAGAGAAAGAGTGAGTTTTTATGTTTCTGTTCGTGTTTCTTGCTAAGAGCATTTGACTTAGTTTAATTATATGAACTCTCTATATAAAATCGACGGAATATGTAAACTATTATTTTTTAGAAATGTATATACATATATTAATTTATTTGCTACGATTTTATACAAATATTATTTATCTCGAACGCGCATTAATATTACACTGATTGACATTGATTTTAAGTCCCTCATCGACCTTGTTGAAATTGTAATGTCAAAAATTCTTGCGTCCCATTTTTAAATAATTTTAATTATTTCGATAAAACATCACTTTAGACGATTTTAGCACACTTTTTACATAGTCCGAAAACAATTTTTTTCCTTTTATAATCAATCAACAGCTATAAAATGACTGTGATATGAAACCTGATGACCTGATTCGTATAGTCTTGCATATATATGTGCAGTCATTTTACACGTCTGATGTTGCAATTATTTTACGATTGTTGATTGACTGCTAAGGGGAAAAAATAGTTTACGGACTATTTTAAAAGTACAATAAAGCGATCTGAAATAGTATTTCATCGAAATATCTATGTATCTAAAAATAGCACTCAAAAATTGTTAGCGTGTATATTTTTTTCTCGCTTCTGACGTTACAATCTAACATGGCCGCGACGTGTATCCAGGAGCCTTAACATATTGATGTCAATTATATTAGATCAATTTTAGAATAACTTTGTGTCATTGATTCCGAATATAATACTATGGTTTTCCTAGATTCCCAGCAAACACAGTATATAAATGTTATATACTCAAGCATGTTACATGTAACGTATATGTTAGTTGTAATTTCCCACTCATAGATGTAACATTTTTAATATTACATATATTACATTGTAGTTATATTGTCATTATATCCCAAGATAGCACTGACTTATCAATACATCAATGTGCTATTTGGTATATAATTACAATATAACTACAATGTAATATATGTTATATTAAAATGTTACATCTATGAGTGGGAAATTACAACTAACATGGATGTTACATGTAACGTATACGTTATATTACCTGTTATATTCCGTTTTATTATAGCAATGTAACAATTATATATCGGTGTTTGCTGGGTTGGTTCTATTTTTGAGATAATCGGTGTTTCATGAAAAACAAAAAATGCAGAAAATGAAAAAAATAAAATAATCTACCCTAAATCAAATGGAATTAATGTCTCAAATCATATTACACAAGTATATACATATTTATACAATATATGAAATGCTGTATTCAGTAAAATAAAATACATTGATTCAGATAATCACAATTAATGCATAGAAAAATGCTATTTGGTGATAGAAACAATGTTAAAGAATAAAAAGACAGATTAAACTGTGCTGCATATGTTAGCAGCTACAGGTTGTACAATATTTGGGTTAAAATCGTAATTTGAGTATCCATTGCGTCAAAAACTATAGCCAATTGAGCAAAACTGTCATATTTGCATTCAGCATCCCTAAAATACTTTAAATTTGCTCAAACATCCTTGGTAACTAAATAAAAGTTTTGTTATTATTATTATTAAACATATCCCATATGTTTCCTGGTAGATGAAGAAGAAAAGAAGTATGAGTCGTCTAGATCTGTAACAGAAAAAAGAAACACAAATTTCAAACAAGTGTGATATTAGTGAAAAGATATAGTTTATAAAATAGAAATGATATTTAGGATATTTTTGTAAAAATATATACATACAAATGAAAAAATAACATTAAATACATATGTTATATTCATAACTACAAATTAAAATGTTACGTAATATTATAGCTATTACGCGGTTGTCTTTTTTTAAATTTCTGGTAATTATCTACCACAGGGCAGTCGTTTAAACATTTTTCCGTGTCTCGTAACATAAAATACATGTTAAGCTCAATTAAAATTCGCTTTAACGCGCGAATTATCGCGCTTCTCTCTCTCTCTCTCTCTCTCCGCAAACACAAAACTACAATTCGTAATAAAATGTCCCGTTCCCCCTGCGTTTTCTCCCTCTTTTTTTTCCTAAAAAAATCGTAACGATAAAAAAAATACTGATTTATACGTTAAAACACATATACATGAAACAAAGTCATTATATGTACCTCCCTCGCTTGAAATTGTGCCGCGGCGGTGTTTATTCACTGCAACGCTTAATTCAACGCTCATTTGAACATTTTGTCGGCGTCGCTATATACATATACATATATATATATATATATATATATATATATATAGAGAGAGAGAGAGAGAGAGAGAGAGAGAGAACCCAATTAAAATTCGTGTCACTTCAAGCGTCGCTCTGTAAAACGCGATTTATGCGATCCCTCTTCTCGCCCCCTTTTATCTCGAACTTTTCCGTATGCGCGGCGGTAGGGCGAATTATGACCAGAGAGAAGGAGGAAGTGGGTAGAGAGGGCGGGGGGTTGAGCGCGGACGTTGTTCCTGATGTTCGTGAAAGCGCCCTTTCTTCGTGGCACACGGCGCGCGCGATCGTGCGATGACTCGCACGATAGCGAGAACACTCGAGGAAAAGGGGTACAGGAGACGGAGGAGAACCTGGAGAACAGAAGCGAAGCAGCTAGGTCGTCCGTAAGAAGGAGGATAGAGCAGAGTGCGCTTTCATTTGGCGTGCATGCACGCGCACGTACGTATAGAAGAAAAGAGAGAGAGAGAGAGAGAAGTGATCATCTCACACGGTGCTCTCGTGGAATGCGAGCAGGAGGAGAGATAGGAGAGATTACGTCAGACTCCGGCTCCATTTAAATGCCCGGCATTGCTGAAATTGGTCCGAGGTGACCTCTGACTTTGGGACCCATCTCGTTTTCTTTGTCCGCGAGCCGCTCCTTCTCTCTCTTTCCTTTTATGAGAGAGAGTATATCCGTCGGTACAAAGGGACAGTCACGAACCGCTGACGGGAAGAAAGTCTTGGAAAAAAACTCCAGTTGTGAAGAGACGCCATCCTGTTATCGTCCAGTTAAAATCTGGAGTCTTATACTTCAAGCCGGACTCGCGCAGAGTTCGAGAACTAACGTTTCCACCCTCTCCTCTTCTCCTTACTTCCCTCGTTCTTTGGAAAAAAAATGAAAACATTCTAGTTAATAGGAACTATTTTTGACCGCGAAATATCTTCAAACTTCTGCCCGAAGTAGTTTTGATCTCTTAATGATGTCATTTATTTATTTGATGGTTTATTATCAGAGCTGTCCAAGAATAACAATACGTCATTACTGTGCTCAGCAGATATCTGTATACTTTCTGAAAGCTGTTTAGGATATCTTATACATTAAATAACCAGCATGATATGGAAACAACAGTCTGCATCATTTTTGTGTCAAGGCACCTTTACAAAATAGGAAAGAATAAATATAATGAGAATTTTTGGAATCATGTTTAACTATAAAATAAAAAAATCATCAATTTATTGCAAACTGAAAGCATAAATAATACACCAACATTGATGACGTCCTATAATATTGATTGATGTTTTGGTCATTGGCACATATTTTTCAATCCTTTTATGATGCCCTATAATTTGATACATATTTCATTTCTGGGTTCGAAGGGCTCAGAAACCTCTACAAAATAGGCGAAGTTATTATCTATAATCTTCTTATTTCTCGTAATATCTTCCTCGCCCCATTTCAAAAAAATGAAAATGTTCCAATTAACAGAAACTATTTTTGATCTCAATAGAAATTTTCTTGATTCTACAGTCTTCGTTTCTCGTAATAATTTTTTGAAAAACACAAATATTCTAATTAATAAGAACTATTTTTGTCTCTGTAGAAAGTACTAATATTATGTAAAATAGATTTCAATTAAATCAACTGATTTTTTATATGTTGTAGTTTATGATCTATTGAACAAAAGATACAATAGCCTTAATGCTAAATAATAGATATTACTGAACTATCAGTCAACAACTCGCAAAATCTGAGTTTTTAATTAGTAATATATTATTAGTAACCGTCTATTATTTAGCTTTAAGTTTATTACATTTTTGTTCCGCAATCATATTCAAACAGCACCAAAATTGGTGCATAAAACATCTTTAAGATGTTTTTAAGATGTGTTTGGGCTGTCATATCATAAGATTCCTTAAAGATGTCTTTAAGATTTTTTAATGATGTCTTATGCATCAATTTTGGACATGATGCTATTTGGGTAAGCTACAATATATGAGAAAACCAGCTGATTTAACCGAAATTCATTTCACATAAGATTAGTGTAGAGTACTTTTCTTGATTCTATAGTCTTCTTTAGTTGCTTCAATCTCTTCTTCAGTTCCTATAGTCTTCTTTAGTTGCTTCAATCTCTTCTTCAGTTTCTCGTAATAATCTTCCTCCATTTATAAAAAAAATGTTCTAATAGGTTAACAGGAACTATTTTAGGCTCCTTGAGAGAAGTTTTCTTGATTCCAATCTTCTGATCTCTTAATGGTTTTTTAATAATAGCGCTGTCGTCGCTTAAATCCGTCACGTGTTGACTCGCACATACGACCGGCAACAATCTACTACTTCTCACGGCAACTTTTGGGAAGGCATTAATCATGCAAGTCGGGAACTACTTGTGTATGATTCGGTTGGGCAAACAACACCGGCTTTTGAGGGCGAATACGTTAATGCTGGACCGTGATGCCGACACGGCAACGGGGCGAAGGATTAATATTCTTTTGTCGTGCTCTCGGAATGGTTTGTTATTCCGGCTGCCTCACAAAATCCTCTTTGCCACAGCTACGAGATATTCGTGTTCCTATACGTGTACCTGTACACGTGCATTTATATACGTAGTTATGGTATAGCCGTAGACCGTCATCTTCCGTTTAGATATGCAACTTGGAATATAGATAAACAGATGAATTTCTCGCGCCAGAAGAAGACGGGATGCTATTTTAATTCTTCTCATTTTTGCGCGCAAAGAGATAAAGTATGGAATCCGATTCTGTGTTTACTCTTAGACAATATGGTGTGCCGCAGATTTTTGTTTCTTTTTTTTTTCGTTTTTGGTAGAAAGTATTTTTGACCGCAAAAGAAATTTTCTTGATATTCTACAGTCTTCTGATTTCTCGTAATAATTCTCATTTTTCGAGAAAAAAATAAAATGTTATAAACAAATAAATTTAATTTAAAAAACCTCTAATCCCTCTGCGGAAATAATTAAATAAATGCAAGAGAAAAATATAGATCCAAAAGTCGCTGAATCGGGAATCGAACCCGAGAAATCTCAAGTAAGAGATTATTTCAATTTTTAAAAATCTTGGTGGTACACCGAGAATAATGCGTGCCTTGCGCACGCTTTAATTGTTTCCAACGAAAATTTAGTTTCGTTGTAAATGTACGTAGAAAACATCCGCGTATGGCTCTTTAAGCCTTCCTTATGATTTAGATTTATAAAATGTTCTAGTTAGAAACTATTTCTTTTTAGATGAATTTTTGAATGAGAATTTTTCTTTCCGAATAATTATTTAATTTGTATTACTGAATTAAATATTAGATTAAACACATTTATTTTTTTTTGACAAAAGAGACATTTTTCAACAATACATATATACATTTTTCATTTCTCGTAATAATCCTCATTTCTCTTTATTTTTCGAAAAAAAGAAGTTTTGATTAATTAAGAACTATTTCTTTAGACAAATTTTTGAATGCATTTTTTTCTGAATGATAATTTAATTTGTATTATTAAATTAAATATCTTGGACATCGCTTTAGCTTTATATTTTGTTAATTAAATCCGTTTATTCTTCGACTAATTGTTCTGACAAAAGAGACACATTTTTCAATAACATATGTCATACATTATTTTCAAGTATAACGCGTATTTTATAAATGTATCAAGCTTCGTTTTCTATAATAATATTTTACGCGAAGATTTTCATTTTCTTTTTCAACGAGCTTTAAGTAAATTTCTCTTTCAGAGTTACAATTTAATTTGCGACTGACGTCGCGATGTAGGATTACTAAATTTCATATCTTTGACATCGTTTATTTAATTATACACATTTATTCTTCGACTAATTTCCGGCAGAAAGGACGCGTTTTTCACTGACACATACATATTTTCAAGTATTTCACGTATTTTTTATGTATCGAACTTTGTTTTCTTTATATAATAAATAATAAAATGAGAAAAGATTTGAAATTATGTTTAAAAAAAAGTGAGAAATAATTCGAGATATTCTGATTATTTAAAAAATTGATAGTATAATTTTTTAAATTTAAAATATTTTAAATAACGTAAAATATAATATTACAATAAAATAATTAAAATATTGAAAAATATTTTCAATTATTTAAAATATTAAATTAAAAACAAATAAATATCGAAATAAAGATTTTTAATAATTTAAAATATTTTGTAAATAATTTCAAATAAATAATAATTAAAAATAAACAAATATTGAAATAAATGTTTTCAATTATTTAAAATGCTTTTAAAATAATTTTAAGAGATATGTATCGAAATAGAATGATTGTCCCTCGATGGTGACTGACTTTGCAATTCTCGATTTTGTTCGGATAGGGTTTGCACATAGGTATAGGTGTGAGATGTACGAGACCAACAAGCGAAACGGTCGAAAAAACGCTTATGAGCGAGTTTGATG